AAACAAGGACACATTAGGTACAAACAAACAAATTCTAGACCTAATTATATACTAGAAAAGATAGATAATTGGTGCAGATTTTGAAAACTTTCCTGTTTCGTGCTAAGATCTTCATTGACCCAAATGTTTACATTGGTGAGGCGAGTTCTAATAATGCACCTGAAGGCCAGGACAAGAGTTCTTCATTCACGGCTGAAAAAAACGGTATGAAACTTTCCACCTAATGTATATAAAACATCTATGTATCACTGTGGGACTTGAGATTGCTTAAATTAAACGTATTTTGGCTGCAACATTGGTTGGAGGATTGATTTTTGTCGTGCCAAACCTCTTATCTGTCAAGTCAGAAAGGTCAAATTACACTTAAATGCTCCGTAAACTTTGCGTTCCCAAAAATTCATTTCATATGTTGCCCAGAGTTTTGAAAGCATATTTTGAAAGCTTAGAGATTGCTTTTTAATGTGGAATGTCTTTTTCTGTTTAAACTCATGTATCGGATGTGATTTTAAGCCTTTGAAATTTGACAATATTTTGCTCGCGTAAAATCTTTAAAATTTTGTAAATATTTAAAAATTCATAAAATATTCCAGTTGCAATCAATTCGAGAACATGACCACTCAAAATGTGTCTTAAAACCCGTTTAATACGATAAGAAGCTTTTTAGGTTGCGTGATACTTGAATTGGATTGAAATCGTGGTCTTTTTGTAGCCCGGTCTAGAGGCCCGAAAAAGCGGTCTGGAGGAGGCCGTCAATCGCCCGAAATTGGCATTCGCCGTATCGCCAAAATATTTATCCAATGAAACTGAAATTTATATTTTCATAACTAGAATACCTAGGGTAGTCTACATAATTTTTTTGAGATTTTTCAAAAATTTTATTTTTCCCCCCTCTGGTCGATATTTACAGACATCCGCTCTTAAAATTGCTAGATAAAGTGGAGCAAGCAAAACGCATTCAGTATTTAAAGATTATCTGCATCCCGAGTCTGCCTCGAGATTCTGGTATGAAACAGTTTTCGAGCATTTTCCCCAATGGGTTTTTGGAGAATTTTACAGGAGTGCGAAGTATGTTGGAAACTTTCCTCGGTCAACGCATATGTTCATTAGTCTGCTACACAGCCGTTTTTAGTGGGGAGGAGCGTTGCGTGACGACACTAAAAACGGCTGTGTAGCAGACTATATGTTCATATGTTGGAGAGCTAGAAAGGAATGAAAGCACAAGCCTTGTCAGTATGTGGTCCTTGGTCCGCGACTTTTCAGAAAATGATAAAATATTTCGTCGAGAATAATTTAGCCTGCGTAGCAAGCGTTTCCAATCGAGTTATTGTGCGAAAGTTAGAGCGGAAGCAAAAAAAAAAAGGTTGAAAGGGGAGGGGGAGGGGAGAAGAGGAAACGCTTGCCCGCAAACCCCACGATTCTGGAAAACGCCCCTTGATATTTCACGGTTCGGTTCATTTGTAAATTGACAGCTCGTTAAAATAGAAACATAACGCGAACAACTTAATGCTGTTTTTGCCCCTCACATTGACTGTGTTCGTTCGTATTCAAAACACCTTGACGAAAATAAAGGTCGTATAAGTCATGTGTGTTATGTTTCGAGATAAATGGATTATACGCTTTATTTTGCGGTGACTTCAGTTTACATCTCCATAAAATGGTAAAAGAAATATCAAGAAACATCACGAGAGCTGAAAACTTTCAAAGGCATGTTTCTGAAACTGGCTAATGCTGACATCCATATAGCGTGCTTGCTGAATGGGCGAAAACACAGAATTGTGATCACAAGATCATGTACAAATTTAATGATAAAAGCTTAGCAAGATACAAATACAAACAAAAGCAGACCCCCTGAAACCTCGACGTGGGCTACACTTGTATGCTCTACTCAGTCACCAAACCTTGTCAGTAATAGCTCTTATTTTCCTCAAGTCGCTCTCTGTGAAGCTCCCGGATGGGATGTCCCGGTGAAGCTTTAAACTTGTGTGCGAAATTCTCAGAGTCCCTATTTTTGTCCGTGTCTTCTTTATCCTCAGTATCCGAAATTTAGACCTCCAAAGTGGCGTCTGTTGCATTAAATAGAAGGAAATATTTAAAGGAAAAGCCAGTCTTCTAACATGGCAAAGTTGTCACGTCCCTCGCTCATGGACGTGCCTCGTGCCATTCATCGGCAACTGAGTTGTTCGCTTCACTGACCACGAAGGCTTACAATCGAGTCTTCAGCCATAGTGTCGTCAACTGGTGAAATACCTTGCTCACAAATTGTGCTTCTTAATTGCTCATGTACTACATCGATCGATAATTCTCTCTTTGAGTTCACGAAGCGGCCACGGCGTTCCAAACCTGACGCTCACAGTCATCTTTTAGTGTGAACCTACCGTGAACGGCGTGTCGGTTTGAATGCAACGCGAGCATTTCTCTGAGTTTCCCAGCGCCAACATCATCTAACTGACTTAAACTCGAACAATAAAAAAATTATAGAGTGACTCCCATGATCGAATCGCTTCGAACAACGCAAATAGCCTTCTTCAGGTTCGCAACGCTTTGTGGGTTTTTCAGGGGGAGCGCAGACGAGGTACAAAAAGTATCCGTGCAAGGGTTTGTGCAAGAGAAAATCATATGAAACCATTTGTGAGAACATCGTTTCTCGGTACCAGACCCTCGTGTCTTCCCTTCCCCGGGAGGCCGTTTTTCGCCGCAGACGACCGAAAGGCCATTTTATGACGGGCCGCACAGGCAGCCTAGTAATGAACATTGAGGTGAATCGCTTGAAAAGAGAGACTTCGCTTGAAGATGTGATCGGAAGTAAACAAAGGCATAATAGTGCGTCACGGTCAGTCTTTTTAATATCCAAGGAGTCACTGTGAATAGTGTTTCCATATTGTTTAGCTGGCACAAAAATTTCGGACGAGTTATAAAGCGGCATAGTTATCTTCCGTGAAGAAAAGTTCGTCTTGGGTGAGACAAACAGAACTGAAGCGAATTTTTAACTCGCATCGGTATCAGGTAAAAAATATGTTATCGATCGTTTCATCTATTTACATTGTTTGAAGTGCGTGCTGGTGAACGCAACATGCGAGCGCGAAATCTTTAAACTTTTTTAGGTCTCAAAATGCAAAGGATTTTATTCCTTTAAGTTAGAGAAAAATACCATGAGGAAAATCTTACAACTGAATATTTTTCATCTTGTGGAAAAAATAGTGCGTTTTCTTGTAGACTGTGGACCGCAAATTAGGAACGCACTTTTCACAGACATACGAATTCTGAAGTTCAGAAGCCAACCGACGATTGCGTTTTTCGCTGCTGTCAATCAACTTAACGGACCTCTTAGGAAACAAAACTTTACTTCACGGGTTCAAAAGGTCATGGTTTGTGCTTTGTGGATTTCGATCCGTTTTGTGTGTTCGGTTCGTTGCTTGTGATCGTAATTATGATTGACGGCAGCGATAAACACAACTGTGAAGGTGGCTTTTGAACTTTAGAGTTCGCATGTTTGTGAAAAGCGCAGTAAAGTCTCCGTGCAGTCAGTGAGGCCCCTGGATCAGGCGGGATCAATGGGCAGTTAACTGTCTGTTTTAGTATACTTCTGGTTTTCATACAATACAATATTTCTGTCTAGTGTAAATCAGCTCAGTCTGTCGCATTTTATGCTCGTAGAACGACAACAATTTTTGGAATTTCCAGTTACGTCAAATTAGTCACGCTATACTGTCATGCTATATTTTGGGGCACAGAGGGATTGGGGGAGGGGTACGTGGAAATAATGCAAATTGTTCCCTGCTTAGAATTAATGGCTAACTTGTTTATTTTTATTCATAGTGGTGGAATTTAAAAGTTATTATACAGCCCCCACTTAAAAATGGTACTCTTTTTTTTTTGGTTACGAAAGTCTTTCAAAAGGGTACAATGTTCTGAATGAGTTTATGTTTCAGTCTCACATGAGGTTCTGTCGCATGCAATAGTTGCCAACAAGGTTTTATGGTAGCCTGAGTGTGTATAACCGCCCCCTCCCTTCAGAAAAAATAGCCCCTCCGCAGCCCAGTTAAAAATCGTCTTTCGGCGATTCTTGTTAATAATGCAAGATATCGTGATTTACTGATTAGCATTCTTTCATATGACGGAGTTTCGGCTTTCCTGCTGTGGGTGAAGACGCGAAATTAAAGTTTGTTGACAGGTAGGTTAATTTGTCCTTCTTGAAGTTTGGATTTTTGCGGCACCGTAAATTACATGGTCATGTTTACTTAGCCTGCGAATAAATAAAACGCAACGGAAGACGTGCCTTTTTGCAGAACAGGTTTTCAGATCAACTTATTTCTGCTGTTGGAAGCATATTGCTGTAGACTCTGAATTTTTTGTTTTATCGACTCTTGGAAAGTAACATTCACTACTAGGTGAAGTTATGGTAAGATGATTTATCACTCAAAATCTTGTACCAGCCTAATGAAACATCTTGGTGGTCGTTGATTATGTGCAAGAAGTATTTGGAAATTGTGCAGAATTTCCAGGTGGTCACATACAACAAAGAAGGTCTACCAGGAAGAAAATTATGCATTTTTTCTGGAGACTGACTTTTCACCGAGGACACCGTGAGTGCTGTCATTTAATTCTCAACAACATCAAAGCTCTCAGAGACTCTGCACAATTTAATGATTAGTGTAACGATAGCAGTCTCAAACGCTTAATAAGGACAAAGTCAATGATGGCCGCCTCAAAACTACTACAAAAGCACCTGATTTTAGGTCACGTGGCTTACAACCACAGGCCTACCATGACACCTTTCCTTCTTTCTTTTTTAAAAACATAAAATGAAAATAAAAAAAAACTTCATTGCACGATGGGCACTTAATAACTGGTGAAAGCCCAACAACATCAGCCAAAGCACTGAACGTAGAACATTTTGAACAAGCAAAGTCAAGTGTTTCAAAAGTGTTGAAAGTCTAAGCAAGAAAAAGAAAGAGAGAAAAAACATTTTTTTAACTGTCTCTTACAATCATCAGGTGTAGTCAAGCATAGTCCTTTAAATAGCCAGGTGGCTTTGACAACCGACCAGCTCTTGTGATCCTATTTTCAACTGGCCTAGACTTGTTAAGTGTTGTTCACAGAGGTTGGGCCTTGCTAGGTATTGCAACAGGGTTTTGGTTAGCTGTTTAGACTGGTCCCCCTGAGCTGGCACTGTTGGGAATGACTGACCTTCTGTTGGCTGAGGTCCTTGGAGTTTCTCTGGAGAGGCTGCCATATCCGGGGGTTGCAAGGCTACAGGGGCCTCGCTAGGTTGTGAGCTGTAGAATGGCTCTCTGCTCCTGCAGAGATGTCTGCGGTTTCTGCGGAAGATTCTGCCATCTTCTGTCTTCACTTTATAGGATCGCACATCTGCTAGTTCTTCTATTTCTGCTTTGAACCATGTCTGGCTCTTGCCATGGGGAAGTGGCATTAGTCTGACTGTCTTGCCTTTCACCAATGGCAAGAGCTCCTTGAAGGTGGGTTCGCATACATTGCCCAAACATACACTGAGCTGGCAAGGCGCTGAGCCCCTCCGTTGGGGTGTTACTCCAGCTTAGTGACTAGGGATTTCTTTTGATTCTATTTTTCTTCTATTTTCGTATGAAAGTGGCCGGGGACCACATTCATAGTAGTCGGAGGAGATCCCCAGCCCCCCGGCTCTTAATGACAGCCCTGCCAATACACTGTAAGCATTAACTATTATTATCATTATATACTTGGGATGGGTTCCTTCAATTTAGATCTTAAGAAGGATTCTCCCTCGTCTTCAGTGCATGGTGTAAACCAACTAAAATAAATGTTCAAAATTAAGTCATTAGTAAGGTCCGGTTGTATTTTGTATATTGGTATATTTAATTTGTATAACGTCTCTTCAGCAGTTGTGCATGTATTGCTATTATTTCTACGTATCTCCATCACCAATGCTGGTGAAATCACGTACCAAACATGATGTATTAACTTACATGTACCGGGAAAATGGCATATCACATGTTTTTTTTTCAGCCATAAACTGAAAATTTAAAAGGGAATAGCATTCTTTGAATGAACAGATCTTGACCTTTTCCTGAATCAATCGTGCTCCTCTCATACTTACAGTATCTGAATGTTTGCTTATAGTATAGATGCCGACCTGTGGGGAATTTTATCTCTGTTGCACCTCCTTTTCTCTCAGGGTACAGGGGTATCAAGACATGCATTAGAAACGAACGATTTTATATTAAGCATATGGAAGGGTTAAAAGCATGCAGTTTTTTCGCTGATGTATAGACTGACCCAGAGCCATTTTTGTAAGGGTTAACTAGTTGCTTTTATATTCATCTATAACAGGGGGTTTGATGGACGGCCATGGTATTATAACGAGTTCACTCACCCTTAAATAGGTCCCCCTGCGTCCCCTCGTACCCTGCTTGACCACAGGCTGTAGGTTGGTGGGGAAGCTAAGGTGACACTGACTTTACAGGCCCCATTTATATGAAGAAAATTGTCCCGGGAAAAAGGGTCTCTCTTCCTTTAGCGATCAATTTTATGAGAATAAAACTAAACCCTTTGCCCTAGCTAACTGCGCGCGCGCATGCTCTGATTGTTTAAAACAGCGATGGCGCTAGCCTGCGAAAACAGCCGTTTCTCCTCGCTCTTCGCCGCTTGGGACGTTTCGCGAGGAGAAACGTCTGCGACTCAGCGACAGAAATTCCATACATTCGCATTACAGCGCCAAGAAGTGCAAGAAAGAAGTCAATTACCTAGGAAGGATTGTCTCCTCTGATGGATATCGAGTTGACCCATCAAACATCAAAGCAGTGCTTGTCCTGAAGGAAACCAAACCAAAAACTGTTGGAGACGTACGGAAACGCTTCGGCTTGCTTGGAAACTATCGAAAATACATCCAAGATTTCTCCAGAATTGCACAACCGCTGTTCAAACTCCTGAAAACACCATAGGTTAACGGCAACAGACCTTTAAAAGGAACGACAAGACATGGTCAGAAAAGAAATGGGACGCAAGCCCAATCCAATTATGCTATCAGTTAGACACAGGAACACCAGGGAGTACTAGAGAGACTTTTGGAATGTCTTGTGAACCCACCGATCCTCGGTTATCCAGATTATAGTCTTCCATTTGTTCTACACACTGACACCTCAAACAGCGGTCTTGGTGCAGTACTTTATCAGCTTCAGTCAGGAATCATGCGTGTAATAGGATATGGATCCAGGACTCTTACCCCAGCTGAGAGAAATTATCACCTTCACTCTGGAAAGCTTGAATTTCTAGCCTTGAAATGGGCTATCTGTGAACAGTTCAGGGACTACTTGTACTATGCACCTTCATTCACCGTCTACACTACGGCCAAGCTCAATTCAACTGGACATCGCTGGGTTTCAGAACTTGCGGATTACAACTTTGATATCAAGTAAAGGCCTGGTAAAGTGAACAAGGATGCTGACACGTCGTCAAGACGTCCTATGGATATCGAGCAGTACATGCCAAGCTGTACACAGGAAACATCACTGGAGGTGATTAGTGCTACTTTGTCTGGTGTAATGGCACTTCAGCATGATGAAACAGTTTGGATCACCGCAGTGAGTGACAGGACGGAGACACTGGACCTTGAATCTGATATTCTTGATTCTACGAAATATGACAAAATTGAGCCTCATGTCATCTTGGCAAGTCAAAAACGGGATCCAAGTATTGGTAGAGTGCTGGCATTCAAACTAGATGGACGCAAACCACCTACCCGTGAAATTTGTAGAGAACTTCCGTTCACAAGAAAGTTGCTGCGTGAGTGGCCAAAGTTGGACGTTGGAAAAGATGGGTTGCTAAGAAGAAGATGTGGAGAACATTTACAACTTGTGTTGCCTAGAGAATTCCACCCATTAGTCTACAAGTTGCATCAGGACATGGGTAATCTGGGAGCAGAGAGAGTACTACAGTTAGCTCGCGAGAGATTTTATTGGCCTTACATGCAACGTGACATTACTCATTTTGTGAACCGGGTGTGCAGCTGCCTCAAACAAAGGCGACCAAATATCTCAACCCGTGCCCCTCTCCAGCCTGTCATCACGAATGCACCGTTTGAGTTAATATCCATCTACTATCTTCATCTCAAAAGAAGCTCTGGTGGACATGAGTACATTTTGGTCATTGTTGACCACTTCACACGGTTCGCACAAGCGTACCCCACCAGAAATAAGTCAGCCAGGACGGCAGCGGACAAGCTCTACAGCGATTTCATGCTTCGTTTTGGGTTTCCCGCGCGCATTCTACAAGACCGGGGGAGAGAGTCTGAGAACAAACTGTTTCACCAGTTAAAGCAGCTGTGTGGGATGATTCGCTCAAGGACTACACCTTACCACCCACAATGCAATGGTAAAGTGGAGAGGTTTGACCAGACATTGCTGTCAATGTTAAGAACTCTACCCGAAGAAAAGAAAAGCAGGTGGCATGAGTTTGTTCCCAAAAGTTGTACATGCATACAATTGTACCAAGAGCGAATCAACTGGGTATTCACCATTTTACCTCCTGTTTGGGCGTTCGCCTCGTTTGCCGATCGATATCATCCTTGGGACATCACCCGATTCAACGTCAGGAACTCACAGTGCTTGTGTCAAGAGGTGGAAGTCTGCTATGACAGAGGCGTGCTCCTTAGCCGCTGAAAAGTCGCGCATGTCAGCCTCTAAGGGGAAGAATTTTCAAGATCGCAAAGCCCACTATTCACACCTGGAACCTGGGGACAGAGTTCTCGTCCGCAAACTTTCAGAGCGTGGAGGACCAGGTAAACTTCGAGCGTACTGGGAAGATCAAATCCATGTGGTGGTGGAACGAAAGGGAGACAGCCCAGTCTATGAGGTGGAACCTGAAGGAGGAGGCCGAAAACATAGAGTTCTGCACAGGAATCTGCTTCTACCATGTGACTTTCTGCCACTAACACAAGAGCAGAAACATCAAACGAGTAATAAAGCTCAGCGTGTAAGTAGGATCTCAAAACAAACTCGTAGTGCGTCCAGGACTGCCACCGATTGTGACAGTGATGACGATGAACTCTTTCATGACGATGAACTTATTTACCAATGCAAATTTGGCGAACGGTCTACTCATGGCGACAGTACTAACTCCGAACCCGTTGCTGCTCCTGATCAGCCTGTGTTGCTATAGACAAAGACGTCCAAACTAAGTCTGATGAAAGGCAAGCAGATCATCATGAACCAACAGATGTCGAACAACCTTGTCCACCGGAGAACGATCAAGATACCCCACCTGTGTCAGTTCCAGAGGAGCTGGAATCAGAAGAGCAAGAGTCAGAAATGGAAGAAGAAGCAGCACTAGAACAGGACCCGGGACCAAGTCGCCCCGAACGTGCTCATCGTCCACCACGAATGTTTACCTTTAACACATTGGGACAGCCGACCATCTGTGGTGTCCAGACAGCTCCATACCCTGTACCTAGGTGACCCTATCCTCCTTTGCAATCACCTTGGATAACACCTATGTACCAGTACCCTGCACCTCCTTGTTATGGTCCTTTGGCATACCCGTATACGGTGTATGTGTAGCGCATCCTGATCCAGATTTATTGACTGTCCATTGACTTCGTTCATGTTTTGTTGACGATATATTAATTACAAACATTTTTCTATTGTGTCTTTGGGATAGGCGAAACAAGTGCTTTAGTCACGGAACAAAGACTCTGCTATAAGTGTTTCCTTAGTTTTGTTGATAAAATTGTTTACTCTGGCCTGATCAACCCAAAAATGCAAGAGACATACGGGAGCAATAAGTGAGAATACAATAGCAAGTCTCAGGAGGGAGGCGAGTACTCCACTAAACATTGTAACAAATGTCTCGGATGACATTTCTTTGAGTCGGGGAGTGTGTGAGAGATGACAATTGCGTGAGTGGAGATCATGTGACCGATCACGTGGTTCAGCGACCGCGTGCGATTATCTATCGTCCATGTTGCTTTTATAAAAGAGATGTAAGCACATTTTGTGGACCGGTACAATTAACCGAAGAGAATTATTAAAACAATCAAGTTGTGGAAAACTGTTGTTCGTCCAAGGTAACATTTGGAAACATTCACGGGCTCCAGATGTCAAGTGTTTGTGAATCGGTTCTGATCTCATAATTCGTGACGTGAATTGCGAGGCGCAAGTATCGCACGCATATTCGATCTTCCTTGAGTGGGAAAGAGTTTGAATCAGAGCTTGAGACTTGAAACAAATAAAGTTCTTTTCTTCGTCTTTCAAGATATGAGACTTATATTAACTTAGAGAAAATTAATATTTTCATGAAAATTAGCCTGCATGACAGGCAATTTATGAGCTAAGAGGGGCGAACGCGATATTTCGCGCGGAGCGTGACACGAGCGCGAAGCGCAAGACGAGGGGATGAGAAAAATAAAGCGCCTGTCCGCAGTCCATTGTTCTTGCTGTTCCGCCCACTTTCGCCCACCAATAAAACTAACCGCGGTGATGTCAAAAGAACCAATCAAAAAACACGATCCATTATCGCGCAAAACTTGTCATCTTTCTGGCGCGACGCGTCTGCATTGCAGTAGAAACGAGGAGTTACGACTGTTTCTTCCATGGCTCCGCGAACTTCTACCAAAGTTTACGGACCTAAATCATCTCAATCTTTATGTAGATTTGCAAAAAGCCTTTTCTGCAAAATTCGAGTTCAATTCGAATTTTTTCCGTAACCCAAAGGCAAGAATGCAAGGGCGTTCAGCTGTCAAATCTGCTCTCGGAGTACGGTATTTTTGTTCAAGGCGATTCAAGCCTGTCCAGTAGATCGTGTCCAAAATGCGCTAGGCGCATTTTAACATCATGTAAAACTTTGCAAGAAGTAAAGCAGGCAGCTCAGGCCGGGCCATCGCCAAGGAATCCGTCGGTGAAAAGATTAGCTAAGAATTCAACAAGCGCTGGGCCATGTGTTTCCGTGGATGGTTCGAATTCTCATCGTGTCATTACCAGGGAAGAGCGAGAAAAAAGCTATCGCTGGGTAAAGAGAACTTGCCAGCCAATGAAAGTATATCAAAAATAAACCGGGCAGAGCTTTTGGATGAGGAAATCCGAGGTCTGATGAATGTTCCAGTAGAAGAAACACAAACAATAACTAAGGTAATTGTGTAATTACGACACGACCGAGAGCTTTGTTATTACCTTGTTGTTTACGCTTGATATAACTTAAATTGATATCGAAAAGGATCAGTTATTGTTCATCGAATAATTATTGTAGTTTCAAACCACTTTAAATCTTCTTTTTAATTGGTTAAGATTAAGTTTTGATGTGATTTTGTCCTCTACTCAGGTTTTTGTCCAAAGAAATGGCAACCTTCCCAGTCACAACGATCCCGCTCAGATGAACATTCAATTTGTAAAAACAAATTTATTTGCATTTAGTTTAATATAGACATACCTACCCGCCTCGACTAGCTTCAGCTATTTGCGGGTAGGTATATAACTTGCTTGTAACTGTCTGTTTTTAATAAAGTATTGTGTTGTGTTTAAAAGTGTTGTGTAAGCACATTCTTTTGTACGTAAACAAATAGCTTAGATTACAAGGACCGGGAAGTTCTTTTTGCGAGGTATCCTTGTTTAAAATAATTTCGCTCGCTCGTTTTATGGCAGTATTTGGATCGTCTCATCAATTCGCTCTCTGCTCACTTTAATTCTTCGATGTCTCACGAAGACTTGGATTATCCGGCTTTGCTTATGCTTATATCCTTCCTTACATGCCAGAGAATTGAAGCGGCGAAAGAATTTGTTGAGTTATGGGGGGAACTCATTTTACAGAACTCATAATTGTCAAAGAGCAAGCCGTTTAAGCTTTTACCAAATCCTGCTGGTAACAAACCCAACACGTCTTTCTTCTGAAGCAGTGCTGCGATACATTTCTTCTGTTCATCCTTTAAACAATCGATATTGGGAAAACTTTCGAGACACCTTTTTTACGCTTCTTTAACACTCAAGGTCGCCATTTTTGTTTACACATCTTAAGCACGCTACGACATCATCACGTGGTACTAATTGACCAATCAGCATGACCGTCTACCTGATGGACGGTCGAGCATTGGAGGAGCAGCAAGAACAATGGACTGCGGACAGGCACTTTATTTTTCTCATCCCCTCGTCTCGCGCTTCGCGCTGGTGTCGCGATCCGCGCGAAATATCGCGTTCACCCCGCTTGGCTCATAAAGCGCCTGTCATGCAGGCTAAATGAAAATAGGCATTAGTTTCGAGGCCATTTTGAGTAGCGTACACAAATCTGCATGCTTTAGAAAGCAGCTAGCGAGTTTGGAATGTTTATTGTATTAATTTTCTTGTGAGATGGATGGTCTAGGTTTGTGTAAAGTTTCAAGTTCATTGGGTTATTTTACATCGTGAGCGGGGCTTCGTCCTTTGACCTAAATTTTCGCGGTTTTCATCGGCCCGTGACCGCACCTAGGCCGCATTTCAAACTCTTCAATTTTCTCAAAAAAAATGAAATACCTTGGAACTTTAAAATATGATTTTCGAAAATAGTTAATCCAAGGATATCTCCAGGCGAAATATAAGAAATTCGACCAAGTGGTCGCTTAAATGCAGTTCTCGATTCTTACAGGCAGCCGCTCTTAAAAACTCTTACGACAGAATTGACAGACAGGCCACCCGTTCACGAACTGGTGTTTTGCTGTCGCGACCATCCAGTCTAGATCTTCTTCCTGTGGTCATCATAGACAATAGCTTTCCACAATTCTGTTATTATTTTCTCAGGGACTACTTTCATCTTACGACTAGCCTCCTCCCGAATGTTCTTCGCGCTCGTCACTCTGTTCCCCTCCTCGAACGTTCCATTAATGAAATTTTCTTTTCAAACGTTTTTATATTACAAACGTTTTTTTTTTCTCCTAAAGCCTTGAGAAGTTAAAAATTACAAATTTTTCCACTCGTAAATGGCAACTCAACGCTATGCCAAAAGCCTGCGTGGGAGGTGTTACAACAGTTTTTTACATGGCAAAACATTTCAAAAACATTTCCGCCCGCAAATAGCAGGTGCTAGTGCTTTTTCGGTTGTAGTTCACATTTTGATATCGCAGACTCCAAAAACTGGTGTTAGCTTTTAGTATAGTAACACTAGAAAGTTTTTTGTTAGTCTAAACAAAGATTAAGGACTTAGTGCGAGAAAGTAGTTGGTATAAGCCATAGCGTACAATTTCATACAGTCAGCGGCTCGATGTGTGGGATCACGCAGTTTTTCTTTTCTTTTCATAGAATACGTAAAAAAACCGTAGAATTAACTATTAAGTGATTAAATTATATTATTTAACAAATACTGAAATAAAAAGCAAGTTCAAAAGCAGAAAAACCCATGTTTTCTTGTTATTGCATCATTGCGCAATCAATAGCCTTATTGTCACACCACTTTGTCACGCGAAGTCACACTTTGGTTGGAATAAGCCCGAAACCTCCGGAAAAGCTGTACAGCGTACTTAGAAGTAAAGTAAAAATCTGTCATGTAAGCTGAACATAAACTGAACAGTTTCAACATGGCGGCCGATGTTTACAACGGTGAAAAGGTTGATAAACCCTTTAGTTCGTCGGTCCTTTCAGATGTCACGGGCTAAGGAAAACAAGACATGTCTTTACCGCGACATTTAACCCGCTTGGGAACCACGAATACAACTCGTAAGGCATTGTATTTGCGATGAAATTAAGCTTACGAATCTAAACTTTGGAAAGCGACGTTTGGGAACTGACCAGCGCTCCGGAGAGGGAGACAAGTTGAGAATGTGTACACACACTCCGGCTCTGACTAGGCAATGACAAGAGGCGAAGTGTGGCGAACTTGGCGGAATTTACTGTGAATGATAAAGTTGTTCAGGAACCGCAAGGAAAGTTCAAAAGCAACAATAATACGGTTCGACTGTTAGGCCCGGTTCAGACGCCGAACTTTTCATCAGCCGAACCTAATACCTCGAATTAAGTACATGAAAAGTTCGGCGTCTGAATCAGTTGAGAACGGCTGTTTCAATTTGGAACGGCTCAGCCGTTCTTCCCGCCTGGCTCAGCCGGGAATTTCGGCTTTGGAACGGCTTTGATTCAGACGTCGAACTTTTCATGAGCCGAACCTAATGCATAAATTATTATAACGTATTTCAAATAAAAAAAATTAAAATAAAATAAAAAAAACGCTGACATTTCGATTGGTTTTGTTTCAAGTAAGTTAAGTTCGGCTAATTAAGTTCAGCGTCTGAATCAAAAGGCGGGATTTTCGTGATTTGGGCCGACCTTAATTTGAATTAAGTTCGGCTCATGAAAAGTTCGGCGTCTGAACTGGGCCTTACTAGATATAATTGTCTCTACGTTCAGACTTTTGGAACGTAGAAATGTTGTATCGTTCTGACTTGGGAAAGACGAATAAATCAAGGTAGGGCAAAATTTCACTTATTTCTTTGTTGACAATTTGATCG